AAAACCTTTTTGTCGACAAGTCTATGATGCCTTTGTGCCTACTGTTTACAAAATAGTTAATGAAAATTTTGAGCTACTGAGGGTTTTATCCAGCCGCGTTAGTCTCATTGGTGTTGACAGCGGTGGTTATGTCTATCAGGTAATCATGATCACTGGCTCTGGATTTGACATTATGCAAAACCCAGAAACTGCGGGTGACATCGCCTTTGCCATTTCCTCAGTACTCGCTGCAGCAGGCATGAGAAATAGCACTGTTTGTGAGTTTCATGGAAATCTTTCTACAGGGGTTGTTCCTCAGCACGATCTTCGCCATTGTCCACCAGGCCGCGATCGAACGTTTTCTCTAAACTCCTGGGACGAAATCACGTGCTCCGGTGGTCGAGATCGAGATGTGTCTGCCTGGGTTTGTGGAAAGATCTTCTTTATATTTTTTACATACAAGTACATAACATGGCATTAAAGATCAGGAACCAAGACTGGAGCAAGTCTCAAAAGAAAATTGGGTGAAGCGTGGAGCAAATGGAATTGGTGTCCCTTTGTTATCTCGTTCAGTATAATGTGAGAAGTTACAGATTTCTACAGCCAGAGCGCCCCCCCCCCCCAAAGGCAGTACTACTGACTGAAGTGTCTTTAGGCCTTTCCCAAAGGGGGGATATAAACATGTTCTTATACACCGTAGAATTGTAAATGGGCTGATTTATCAATGTCATGCTCATACGGTGCTGGAACAACAAAGGGGAAACTGCACTGCTGCTTTTTATTTCCTCATCCTTACTATCGTCCTTTTTCATCTACTTTTTTTGCATGTTTGTCACTCTGTTGTGAACTGCTATTCCCAAGGGGCCTTGATAGCCGAAGTAGACTTTGTGCTGTTGAGTCGAGAGAGGTGAGCAGAGTACGCCCGATTCCCCTGGAGTGAATGGATCCTGTGTTTCTATTTTTGTATACTTTAAAATGTTTCAAATAAAGGCTGAAATAAAGCCCGAACAACAAACACACTCCTCACTCTCCACTTACACACATACTACAACACACAGACACACTCACACATACACATGAACACACACACACACACACATACACATGAACACACACACACACACACACACACACACACACACACATACACACACACACACACAACAACAAAAAACCGTGAGCCGTATACAAACAATAATTTCTCACCAAGCTGTCTTCTCAATCAATGTTCGACCTAAGACGAGACTCCTGTGTTCAAGTTTGCTGTTGTTACAAGTTTCCTGTTACAAGTTTCAAGACATAACAATTAATATTATTTTTATTTTTATTATTATTATTATTATTATTATTTTCATTGCTCTTATTTTTTATCACTATCATTATCATTATTATTATTATCATTACTATTATTATTATTTTTATAATGATGTTTACTATCAATATTATTATCATTATTATTTTCTTTATTATTATTATCATTATTATATTACTGTCTTTACTAGCCTACTA